AGGATGCTGCATCCACCCCAAATTTCACTGCCACTCCACTCCCAGCGCCACCGCCCCAGCTCAATGCCCTGCCTCCACCCATGCGACAGGAAGAGCTGGGGCTGTGCCAGGTGGCTGGCGGTGGTGCCGCTGGGAGTGGAGCGGCAGCAAAATTTGGGGTAGATGCAGCATCCTCCCAGTGCCCCCACTGCCCACTCTGAGCCCAGCTCCTGCCAAGAAAAGACCTAAGCAGCCCCATCTGCAGCCCACTCCCCTGATCTGGGGTGCACACAATCCCCCATGCCCTCCTAGGGTGCAAGCAGCAGCAGGAGCTGCCTCCCCCACGAGCCGTGGCTCTGCACCCCCCTGCCCCCTCCATAACTGTGAGGGGCATTGATCTGCCCAGCCCCCCACACCTCTTCCCTCCCCCCTCCCCTTCCACCACACCAGACTTACCAGCTGGAGGCAGCTATGTCGGAAATTGGATTGGCATTGGCCAATATGCCTCCTTAAATATCGGCTAATCAACATCAGCCCTAAAAAGCTCTATCAGTGCAACCCTAGTCGGTAGGTACGGGCTGCGCACCATCAGGCCAGGCCAGCTCAGTGCCTCCACCTGGGTCTGCCAGCACTCCATTAGGAAGCCACATGTGGAGGCCAGCAGAAACCTGCCCAGCCCCAGGGCATGCGACACCAGGCCTCCACGTGCAGCTTCTCACTGGAGTGCTGGAAGCCCTACATGCATCTGGGAGCTGTGCAACATTGGGCCAGGTGGGAGGCCACACATGGAGGCATGTAGTCATGTGCCATCAGGCCAGGCAGGCTTCTGCTTGCCTCCACATGCAGCGTCCTGCTGGAGTGCTAGAAGCCCCATGTGGAAGCATGAAGCCCACCCGGCCCGATGACGCATGGCTTCTGGTCCACAAGCCACAGGGCTGGGCCAACAGGCTCTGTGCCTCCATGTGGGGATTCTAGCACTCCAGCAGGAAGCCGCACATGGAGGCACGGAGCCTGCCTGGCCCAATGCCATGCAGCTCTGACCTGCAGTGCCACAAGCCCCACAAGCAAGCATGAAGCCAGCCTGGTCTGGCCTGGTCTGAAGACGTGTGCCAGAAAGCCGGGCCAATTCCATGCCAGGATGTGCAGGCCCTGGGAAATCAGCCAGAGACATGCACCACCAGGGGCTCGCTGGCTGCAGCCATGAGCACCCTAAGGACCCGCTGCTGCTGAGCCACTAGCAGCCGGCGCAGTGCACCATAGGAGGGTATTTGGGGGACCCCCACACCCTCCCACCTTTACAAATCCCCCACACACAAATGCCCCACCCCCACCCCACAACACTACAAAAGTACCTGCATTTATTTCTAAAGTAGGTTTCAATAGTGTTATATTTAATTTGTAAAACAAAATTTTAAACTAATTAATTTTGCATAATTTTGAGTTCTGCACATAATTTTGAATTTTTTAGCGCATAATTCCCTGGGGTATATTAAATGCAGACATATTATAGAAGGCCAGAGGGCTGCATTAGGTGCAAGAAAAACAACCGTAGTCTTATCATTCAAATTCACTGAAACAATCATTTCACTGGA